CATATACTTATCATTAGATAACAATATGTTTTCCTTTTTCTTTCTTTTTTTAAAAATTATTAATTAATAATGTTACATTTAGGCTTTGACTTTCATATATGATAAATCATCTTTTGCCTTTTTACATTCTGAATTTCTAAAAGATCTGATTAATATCTATTATCCGGAATTATCTTGCAAATTTTTCTTCCAGAAAAATCAATTAGCAACAAGATCAGTGAGTTGGTTAAAGGATTTCATACGTTTCGAAAGCACAACTATTTACGATATAAATCCGGTACATTATTAAAGCTATTTTATTAATTCAAATAGTTTAAATTATTTCATTTACTATTTGTAAATTTTTAAAGTTACAAAATATACACAGTTAGCTTTTTCAATTTCACTTGGAATTATTTACTTTTTTTAAAAGTATTTTTTGAAATTTTTTGAAAAAAAGCTATAAACAGTTGTATAAATGCATTTTTTTTGAATGAAATGCATTTTTTTTTCAGTTTTTAGAAGAAAAATTAAAAAAATTTTAAAAAACTTAAATTCTGGTCTTTTTTTGCATATGATCTTTCGCTTTCATTGACTACGACCAAGTTGCAAATAATATGTATAATCTGAGTTTTTAAAACAAAAACTCATTTTCTAGTTCAATTATCTTCAATTACTTCAAACTTAAATAAAAATAATTTCCTATAAATTTTCAATTATTTCAAAATTAAATAGAAATAGTTTTCCGTAATTTTAAATTACTAATTTTGTATGATTAGATTTATGATCTGACTTATCCGTGCTAATAGTGTGACATTAATTAATTATGATAATTTTATCAGCTATATAAATTATTTAGTTATATGATAAATTCATATTATCAATAGTTTCACTAAAAATATTTTCAGAATTAACGTAATTTTTTTTTTTTTAAGGATACATTTGTACCAATTATTGGTATTGTTTTTCTAACAGCTGAAAATTATAAAAAATATCGAAATGATATAATTTTTGATAAATTTCAAACACGTATCATTGGATCGAGAATGTACATTGAATTAACAGCTAAAGGTGTTCAAGAACGGTTAGTTGCTAATATTTTTTCTCACTATTTTTTCTTTTTTTTTGAAAGGGTTTCTTCAACAAAAAAAAAAAAGTTTGTTATATATTTTAGATTATTTGTTATTGATGGATTATTGAATAAGGCTCGTTCAGCTGGCATATCAATGTTTGTGAAAACACCATTTATTTTTGATATTCAACATGATTTACAGGTACATGTTATAGATTTACAGGTAGATTACAGGATTATAGGTAAATATTATGTCGAATAATTTCATTTTTTTTTTTGATATTAATTTCGTGCTTATTTTATGATTTAATGATAAATTTTTACTTGTGGCAATATGTTGATGTTTACCTGTTAATATAATTGTTTATGTTAAGTGGTAGTAGTAGTAGATAATCGGATAAATGATAGCAATATCATGATATAGACAGATGATAGCAATATCGTAATATGAATAGTTGATAACATAGATGATAGCAATTATGATATGGAAAGATGATAGCAATATCATAATATGTAATAGATGACAGCAATCATGATATAGATGAATGATATCATTATATAGATAGATAATAGCAATATGGATAGAGACAAATGTAATATTATTAAAGGATAGATGGATAAATAGTAAAAATATCATGATACTAAGAGAAAGATGAACAAGTAGTAACAATTTCGTGGTACCAAGAAGTAGATAGTGAAACAAACAATATAATGGTACCAAAGAGTAGATGAGTATTGAGAATGTCATTATCATTGTATCAAGGAATAGATGAACAAATAGTGATAATATAATTATATCAAAGAGTAAATGAAGAATTAGTGCAAAATACGGTACCAGCAAATAGATGGATGAAAAGCAGCAATAACGAGGAATGAGTATTATTATACCAAAAGATAGATGGATAAATGAGTAAGTAACAGACATTATAATGGTACTTTAACGGTAATTTAGTACCATTATAACGGTACTAAAGATAAATCAAAGAAAAAAAAAAGTGACAGTATCAATGCTATGAAATGAAGAATAAATTTTTAATTAATAAAGCTACAGTACCAATGATACGTGTAAAATTATAGTATCAACGCGATACGGTAGACAATCGTTTAAGAATTAACTGAATTATTTTAGGTGATGTCAACAGTAATGATAGCATTCAGTTTACTTCTTTGTTGTGTTTGCACTTTATCGCTATTTCTTTTTGGTATACCATCACTAACTGTATTGGTACTATTATCTAATTTATCGGTCATTATTGGTGTTATTGGTTTTGCAACTTATTGGATGATTCCAATTAATGCTATCACATTATTTATGGCTTTAGCTGGTTTGTTATTTCATATTTAATTTTGATTTAACTAAAATTAGAATTTTTCCAATTTTACAATTTATTTGATTAAAAGTGTGAAATAACTTATTTTGCTTTAAAATGGAAGATTGGTTTGTTGTAATTATTGAATTATTATAATCGGAGTTTTTTTTTTTTTAAATTATGCGCATGCTTTACCTAAATTATCAATTGGTTATGTTATTTTAATCATTTTATCGCTCACTTATCATTTCTCATTGATTAGTAGTAAAAATTTAGGAAATGCATTAACCACTACAATTGTTTCCTATTTCTGTTATAATTTTGCAACTGCTGGAAAGAGGCAGAAAACTGGCGAACAACGAGTACGCTATTCTTTTCAGGTTTGAATAATTACTTTAATCCCTTTTTTCTTCATTATCGTTATTATTATCATTATCATTATCATTATCACTATCATTAACATTATCATTATCACTATTATTATGATTATTATTATTATTTATATTAACTATATTATAGCTTTGTTTCATCACAAAAACTAAAAATTTAGCTTTTTCATAATTATTATTATTATCACATTCATTATTGTCATTAATTAGTATAACTTTACTTTGTTGTAGAAATTAAAATTTTAACTATTCAGATCAGACTACGAAAAAAGCTTGAATTTTTATGTAAATTTGAAAAAGAATGATTAAACAAATGTAAAATACAGTAGTAATTCACTTGTATCAATTTTTTTCAAATTAAATTATTAAAACAAATTTATACATTGAAGCGAAAGGTACTTTCAGTCATGCTTATTCCCGATAACTTTGGCATGTTTTGTACCGGTCATGGCATATTTACCATTATTATTGACTGGTTTACCTGTAATGATGCATGTCTTCAAGATATTGATACTCTCTTCATTTATCACTTACATTCATTTATTACTTTTCCTTCCAAAGTAAGTAATAATAATTGATAACAATGATAGTTAATGATAAAAATATTACTGTTACTATCATTGGTCACTCGTTATTTATGTTTTTTTTTTCTAAGAAATAAAATTGAACTAAACAATAAAATCTTCAATTTTAAATTTTATCCAATGTTTAAAATGCAATATTAGTGGTATTTTTTTTATACCCAATATTAGTGATAATTTTTTAGTATATCAGAATAATTAGAAATTGAGAAAAAAAAAATTGAATTTAAATCTACATTTGTTTCACCGTTCAGTGAAATTTGTTACAGAGTAATTTTCAATAAAATAAGCATCATTTTCATTTAATTGCCATGGCTGCAATTTTTAATATCGTATTTAATGAAATTTAATTTGCTGCTCTAAATGACTTGAAATAATTCGAATTACGAAAGTTTAATGCATAGTTTAAATTTTGCTCATAAAATTTGCATTGAATTGAAATTTCTATTATTATTAGTACGATGATATTTCTCACCGAGCAAATTCCATCATTTTTCTCATCGTTACAAGACGTTTGCGACGAATGCTGCTGTTACTGTTTTGATATTGAAGAAGATTCCGGTAGCATTTATTATATACCAACCGGTGGTCGTAACAGTTCACAGCATAATGGTTTAGCAAAGTTTGTTCCCTTCAATTATTAATTTATCAAATTTGATCAATTTATTTTAACAATAAAAAAGAAGAAAATTCATATGAAAACTTTAAAAATGATTTAAATCGAACATTAATCTATCTTTTTGGTTGCAAGAAAAAAAAATTAGTTAAATTAAAATAAAATTTTCTTTATGTTACAAAAAAAGGTTAAATTTAATTAAACTACGAATTTTTTTTT